GACTCTTGCTCTTTTCTACTGCTACAGACAGACTAACACGGCCACCCATCTTGATCTATTATAAGAACACAGCAATTAAGGATCTAACTGATTTCTCTGGGACAAAGCCAAGAAGTTCCTTAGGCCAATCCTAGGCATTGTTAGTTACTTTCTTTCTCTTGCTACCTTGGCTTTGTGTCAGAAGGAGAGAGCCCTAATACCTTATTTGCTGCCAGTAAAGAGAGAGCTTGTGTGTGTATAAAAATATACGCTCTCTAACACAACACTAATATATACTAACTATAGCTAAAGGTAAAGGTTCCCTTGCTCGCAAGCCAGTCAAGTCCAACTCTAGGGTTGCGGTGCTCATCTCCGTTTCAAAGCCGAAGAGCCGGCGCTGTCCGAAGACGTTTCCGTGGTCATGTGGCTGGCATGACTAAACACCAAGGCGCACGGAACGCTGTTACCTTCCCACCGAAGTGGTACCTATTTATCGACTTGCAATTTCTTGCTTTCGAACTGCTAGGTTGGCAGGAGCTGGGGCCACAGACGGGAGCTCACTCCGTCATGCGGCGCACTCGGGTCTCGAACTGCTGAACTACCGACCTTCCACAGCCTGCAGTTCAGCGTCTTAACCACTTGAGACACCGCAGCTCAATTATATTATAGATTATATTATAATCCCTTTATACTGAATCAGACCCTCGGTCCATCAAAGTCAGTCTTGTCTACTCAGAGTGGTAGCAGCTCTCCAGCAGCTCTCACATCGCCTGGTCCTTTTAACTGGAGATGCCAGGGACTGAACCTGGGACCCTTTGCCTGCCAAACAGAAGCTCTTCCACTGAGCCACGGCCCCTCTGGTGATCAGAGACAGGGCTTTTTCAGCGGTGGCCCCTCACCTGTGCAATGCTCTTCCCTTTGTGGCCTGCTTGGCACCTACCCTACTCTCTTTCAGCATAGGAGGTTTTGAATGAGTAAATAGATGCTATTGTCATTAACGGAATATGAAAGGGCACGGGATCAAACAAGGGAGCAACACGAGCAAGACTGTTCGCCCAAACCTGCATAAAGTCCAGAGATCAGCAGCAACATCCCCAATCTACAGAAGAGGATTTGAGGCTGAAAGCCCATGGGGGAGGGTGGGCATACTGGGGCTAAATTGTATGCACAATGCACATGGCAGAACATGTTTACCGCTTTACGTTTCCATACTTTTCGGAACACAAGTCAGTGTTAACAAGCTGAAACTATTATTTTAAAACAGAAAGTGTTCCGATCCTAAACACCAGCAATGGGAATGGCTACTACGAATCTCACATTCCCCTCTTTAGACCTGGAACCAAGAGCAGCTCCACCCACTGTAGTGCCTGCAATTCCACCCCACCCCACCCCCCGTACCTTCTCCTGATACTGCCGCCGAGAGGAGTCCAGAGACTGGATAAGTGCTGTGGCATGCCCGATGAACATGGCATAACAGGTGGCCCCCACGATCATGCTCAGCATGGTCAGCCAGATATCGGTCATGCTCTCTGGCGCCTGCCGGCCGTACCCAATGCACAACATGTGGCTCATGGACTTGAAGAGGGCGAAGGAATACTTTTCGCTCCAAGAGTCATTCTGGAAGGGGGAGAGAGAGAGAGAGAGAGAGAGAGACTCTGCCTCAGACAGATAGCAGCCAAGGCCGACAGAGAGAGTTCAGTGACGTTAATTCAAGCTGTGGTTTCTGCTCAGAAGCGTTAGAGCGCACAGTGCTGAGAGCCGGATGCACCAGCGCTTGAGTTCCATAGAAACCAGCTACATACATTCACACAGGAAGGCCCCAGTGAGTTTAGATTATAGCTCTACCACAGACTGAACACCCGAAGTTGCCTTATACTGAAGCACACCATCGGGCCTTCACGTTAGGTCTACTTAGACTGGCAGCGGATCTCCAGGGTCTCAGGCAGCAGGCTTTCACGTTACCTACTGCCTGGTCCTTTCAGCTGGACATGCCGGGGATTGAACCTGGGACCTTCAGCATACCAAGCAGACACCCTACCACTGAGCCACGACCCCCTCCCCCTTAACAGAACAGGCCTTAAGGAAGACATCTCTAAGTCTCAGAGCTGTGCAGAGGGGCTAGTAAAAGAGACAGATGGGTAATAAGAAGACCATGTAATGTAATGCTAGGCGAATGCAGAAATGGCATTGCCTTGAGCAGGGCTGAGTATTCCACATCTGCACAAGCAAGCAAATTACCAACTATTGAGTACAGAGTCAGCATTGTCAGAAGTTTATTTAAAAAAAAATACTAGCTTTCTAGCAAAGACACGAGGATGTGAGCAATGAGCGGAACTTCCAGAGGAAGCAATTTAGTGCCTTGTGGCACAATAAACCATTTACTTACCATAAATTCTTGTTCCTGGTAGGGGCAGGAGGGCTTTGGGATTGTCCCTTCCACTCAGACTGAAGACAGAGCCAATTTACTAACCTAAAGAGGAGGATTTCCTAGAGCAAAATGCAGAAAAGCTAGAAACCTCTACCGCTTTATGAACCACAGGAAGAGAAAAGCCAACATGGCTGAACAGTAGGAAACCAAAAAGAAACAACAGACCCAGGCAGCAAACAGGACTATACAGGACAGAGGAACATGAAGGAATGTGCTGCTTCAGAGGGCCTGCCCTCACAAGAGGCTGTCATTTGGAAAGAAGAACAATCCCATCTCAGGAGGAAATTCCTTCTATAGTACAGAGTTACGTATGGTAAACAAAATTCCCTTTAGAGACAGGAGGCAAGACATACATCCCTGGGGCCGGGGACTACCATGAGATGCTGGTTTGCCAATCGTAGGGTCCTACCCTTCCTGTGTGTGCCAACTGGTCACAAGGCCTCTTTTACCAGGCCCCAGGAAATTGACTCCTTTTCCTTTGTAGATGCTACCTGTGATAGAAGGACTCCCAGTGTTCCCTCTAAGCTGAGTTAGTGTGAGCTAGCTCACAGTTTTTTAGCCTACGGCTCACAGATTTTTGTCTTAGCTCAGGAAGGGTGGCTCCAGAGCAAACTAATGTATGCAGTAGCCAAATCACTCGCTCACAGCTTTAATGCCAGTAGCTCACAAAGTAGAATTTTTGCTCACAAGACTCCACAGCTTAGAGGAAACATTGCTCTGGACCTACCCTGATAATTAACTTTTTTTTCAATCGACTTTTTTTTTTTTGATCAAGAATTCTCTCCTGCTTGGAGCTTTCAGCGATCAAACTATTCTCTGCACCCTCCAGAATCAGGGAGGATTTTATTTATTTATTATTTTTATTTTATTAGATTTGTATCCCGCCCTCCCTGCACAGCAGGCTCAGGGTGGGTTCCATCATGCACAATATACAAAAACAGTTATAACTGATTGAAATACATCAAATAAAATATATAGGGCACCTCTAACCAGAGCCAGATCTGACTCATTGGAGCACTGGAGGGGAGGTCTAATAAAGTGTGGACGTCCACTGCCTCAGCTAAAAGCCTGGCGGAAGAGCTCCATCGTGCAGGTCCTGCAGAACTGTAAAAGGTCCCGCAGGGCCATGATCTCATAGGGGAGCTAAATAAAATCCTCCTTGATTTTCTTCTGGAGGGTGCAGAGAACAATTTGATAGCTGAAAGCTCCAACCAGCTGACATGCCAGTGTGGTGTAAGGGCTCTTTTTGTAGCAGGTACTCATTTGCATATTAAGTGACACACCCCTAATGTAGCCAATCCTCCAAGAGCTTACAGTAGCCCCTGTAAGAAGAGCTCTGTAAGCTCTTGGAGGATTGGCTACATTAGGGGGTGTGGCCTAATATGCAAAGGAGTTCCTGCTACAAAAAGAGCCCTAAGTCTTGGATTCCAGTCTGGAGTGCTGGGTTTGATCCCCACTCCTCCTCCACACGAAGCCAGCTGGGTGACCATGGGCCAGTCCCAGTTCTCCTGGAGCCCCCTCAGCCCCACCTGCCTCACCAGGCACCTGCTGTGGGGAGAGGAAGGCGATTGTAAGCCACTTTGAGACCCCTTAAGGTAGAGAAAAGCACAGTATAAATGCCTACTCCTCTTCTCGTGACTTCAGGCATCTAGAGCCACCTGATTAAGGCTACCATCTGTGGCTTCGACTGTCCTAGCGGAGGTAGCAAGATTCATTCCTTTCACCAGCCTCCTGATTTCCAGCCACTAGTTCAGGAGTACTTCATCCCGCTGGAGACAGAGATCATCTCACTGTTGGTAGGCAAACTGTCTAAACGATAGCAGAAGGTTCCGGAGCAGTCCGACATGGAACTGGGACCCGTCCACCCCATCTAGACTTGTGACCATTATTCCCAAAAGTTGGGTTGGTCACGAGGCCTGGCTGCTCGGAAGATAAATCTTGCCAACCTGGCCGTCACCTCTGTTCGCATAAAATGAATGTGTGGGTACTCGACAGAAGGATTCCCAGGGGCTTCAACCTTCTGAGCAAGTCTGAGCAGTTGTTCTTCCTGTTTACTACAAAACTAATGCCTTGAGGGCCTGCCGCCAGAGGCTGAACACCCCGGGAGCACCTCTCCTAGGAGGGGAAAGCGTATGATCCAGGTATAGGAAGAGGCCCAGCAAACTCAATGACCACTTTAAGCTTTGGCAAATGTCCTGGGTGCTCCCATGAGCTCAAGTGGGAGGGCTCAGAAATCAGAACACTTTTGGTTGCATAAGAACCGCAAGGTCTCTTCTGTGCAAAGGTTACACAGGACCATGCAAGACAGTCTCCAATGCATCGAGAGAGGTGAAGAAGTCCTGGAGTTTGACGGCCTGCCCAATCAGTTTCAAGGCTTCCATCAGCAGCAGAGCATTTATATGTCTCAGGTCTACGATTGTCCTTACATTTCGAATTCTACCCTGGACTACTATTCTTAGTAAAAGGTAAAGGTTCCCTTGCTCGAAAGCCAGTCGAATCCGACTCTAGGGTTGCAGTGCTCATCTCCATTTCAAAGCCAAAGAGCCAGCGCTGTCTGAAGACATTTCCGTGGTCATGAGGCCGGCATGACTAAGCACCAAGGTGCATGGAACGCTGTTACCTTCCCACCGAAGTGGTCCCTATTTATATACTTGCAATTTCTTGCTTTCGAACTGCTAGGTTGGCAGGAGCTGGAACTAGAGACAGGAGCTCACCCCGTCTTGCGGCACCCGGGTCTTGAACTGCTGAACTACTGACCTTCCACAGCCTGCAGTTCAGCGTCTTAACCACTTGAGCCACCACAGCTCCACTATTCTTAGTACTTCAGTACTAAGGAAAGCACCGAACACCACGGCCCTACAGAATTAGTCCCATAGCCTTTAGCACTTGAGGAATCCTGAGGAAATAAGAGAATTCTTCTCCCTCATGGATTTTGGTGAGGCTACTGACAGTCCTGACCCACGCATCTATGCAGAGTAAGGCCAAGAAAAATCATACTATGGGGCTGGGATCATGGGTGTCCTGACATCCGGTGGGGTGCAGGTTTCCCCCAGCCTTGGATAAGGCAGGGATCCCTAGTGTGCTTAGTGCAAACTCTGTGCCTGATGACCTGGGAGCACAGAATGCACTTGGATTATCCCACTTAAAAGAAGAGCTGAGGCTCAGTGGAAGAGCCTCTGCTTTTGCGTGTAGAAGGTTGGAGGTTTAATCCCCGGCATCTCCAGTTAAAAGGACCAGCCAGTATCATGTGAAAGACCTCCGCCTGCTGCCCAGCTAAGTAGACAATACTGACCTTAATGGACCGATGCTTCTGATGCAGTATGAGGCAGCTTAATGTGTATGGGTAATATCTGGACTTTTGTGGTTGCTTGGAAGAACCCAAGGACTGCTGAGGTTCTTTTTCCTTTCTCCTCCTGTCTGACAGAAGCCCCACCAAAGCCACTTCCAGGGGCTCCCCAAACAGCCTACAAATAGCCAGGCAAGATTGAGAACCCAGGAGGCTCATCCCAATGGCAGATGTTTCCCTTGGTTGACACTTCTGCTGTTGTTCCGGAGCCAAGTTGGCTACCAAAGGATCCGACAGAAGGACAATCTGCAAAGAGGTTTTTCTCTTAATCCATTCTTAACCGCCAGGGGCTGATTAGGATCCAGGGCTACAGATTCGTCCCACCACATATAGGTTGCTCAAGCCAAGACGGAATGGAACTGGTGAGGCCTGGGATCTCCTCTCCAAGGCCACTGCAGCCCCTCTCCCCCCGCCCCCCACATACACACTCTTGTCGCAGAGGTCGCTTGGGGGGCTGCCTCTTCCCTCCAACAGAACAGTTCCTGCGAACAGAAGCTCAGCCGCTAGAGTCCAGCTGATACAGATGTTTGGTTCTGTCCACGATATTGTCCGGAAGGTGATACGATTTGTTGAGCAGGCAGCGTGCTATCTCTGCTCCAGCTGCGGCCAGTCCCATCCTACCCTGACAAGCCTGTCAAAAGAGACTGATGGATGTTTTGAAGGCCCTCCAAGAAACATCACCCCAGAGAGCCCTGAGCAAAGGGAGATGAAGGGCCTTCCCTCCACTTCCTTTTCCTTGGTGAACCGTAAGGTGTGAACTGACTTGGCAAGGGATTCAGGAACAAAATCTGCTGGGAACAGACGGTTCAGACACAGACCACAGAGTTCCCCCTCCTCTTCCTCCCCCTTCCTCTGAGGAGTATCTGCTTGGCAAAAGCCCAACCCTCTTCCCCTTCCCTTGTTCTAGGGCAGGGGTGGCCAAACTGTGAGAGCCGCATGCGGCTCTTTCACACATATTGTGCAGCTCCCGGCAGGGCAGCTGGGGAAGCTAAATATCATTAGCAAACAAATATCATTGGACAAATGAATATCATTATCAATATCTGCTTTTACCGCTTTTGTTATTATTTTTGGCAGTCTTATTTAATGTTAATGAAAAAGCAAATCTGCATATTTCCCAGTAAAACGGTGTCATATTTGTTCATGTCTTGTGGCTCTCAAACATCTGACGTTTAGTGTATATGTGGCTCTTGTGTTAAATGAGTTTGGCCATCCCTGTTCTAGGGCATCAGGGCAAGGAGGGAGATGAAGAGGAAGCCGGCCAATGGGCTAGTGAAGCACGAGTGGAGGCCGCCATTCTTCAGGAGCGCAGAAAACAGGCCGAATCCGGCACAACCTGCAGCTTGGGGTTTTTGTTACTGCTGCTAAAGAAAAGGAAGTTTCTAGCCTTTAGGCTGGACAGCTGGTGGGGAGGGGGGTGCTTGGTGCCGTGTCAGAAGCCAGAGAGGGCTGGTGAATCTGTTTCCAGGAGATACTCCCAAAGCATCTCAGGCCGCACCAGCAAAACCAGAATCGATTATACAAAAGAAAAGAAATCACACCGGTGAGCTTAATTTGCATAAATGAGGCAGGGTGAAGAACGCAGCTGGTGCTGGTGCCAGGTTGACATTGCCCAGACACAGGGTTTTCATCCTTTCTTTATCAGAGTATTCACAGCTGTGCAGAGGTGAAATGATCCCCAGGCGCCTGATAGCTGGAACCCTCCCTGACACACACACACACATACACGACCCAATCACACATCACTCTTAGAGCCAAAAATAATGGTGAGAAGGAAAACCCCAGCTTAAGTGGAGCCTACCCCGTGTCTCTGTGAGAGTCTCTGTCCTGAGCAAGACTCCTGTACAGGAAGGAGGTGAGCGCAGAAGAGAGACAACGGACAATCTCCTTGGTAGGCAGGTAAATGAGCTGCGGTGGCTCAAGTGGTTAAGACGCTGAACTGCAGGCTGTGGAAGGTCAGTAGTTCAGCAGTTCGAGACCCGAGTGTGCTGCATAACGGAGTGAGCTCCCGTCTCTAGTTCCAGCTCCTGCCAACCTAGCAGTTCGAAAGCAAGAAATTGCAAGTAGATAAATAGGTACCACTTCGGTGGGAAGGTAACAGTGTTCCGTGCGCCTGGGTGTTTAGTCATGCCGGCCACATGACCACGGAAACGTCTTTGGACAGCGCTGGCTCTTTGGCTTTGAAACGGAGATGAGCACCGCAACCCTAGAGTCAGACTTGACTGGCTTTCGAGCAAGGGAACCTTTACCTTTTTAAATGAGCTTTATCCCTGCACCAGAGGCGGATGAAAGATGCAAGGGAACCTTTACCTTTTTAAATGAGCACCAGAGGCGGATGAATGACCCAGCCAACGTTCCCTCTAAGTGCAGAGACTATCTGTTTTCTAAGCTAGCTAGCACCTGTGACCGGTGGGAAGTCCTAGGCTTTGCTGAAAACCCAATGGCTTGAATTCAACTATGCAAAAGTGGACACTAAATGGATTTAGCACTGTTTCACTTGAGCAGGATCTTGTGCAGCTCCTACAGTGCTAAGAGAGCGCACCAGATCTTGTGCAGGTAGAAACGTAAACGGGGTACGAGAAGTATGACTTAGGGCAGGAGGCAACAATGGTCTTTTTCTTGCATTTCCGCCTCCATGAGAGCTCTGATGCAAGTGGAAACTTTGCACTAGTTCCAGCTCAGAGCGAGTAAGAAATCCCAAGTCCTCAGAGGGAGATCACATCAAGCCTCGTGATAAACCCCAGTTCAGTCTGGGGAGGTGCACATTGGTTTCTGAAATATCAAGAAACAAATATCGGATACGTGTCCCCTTTATTCCTTTTGCGCAGTGACTGACCTACTTGTCTTACGTCGAGAGCAGAAGGGCACTGCTGACACAGGGTGGCACCCGACACCCTGGAGGAGCAGCCCAAGATACCGTGGCTGATGGTATTGCATCCTAGGGCTTAATATTATGCTGTTATTATTAGGTCCTGGAGTTTATCGCAGGAATGGCACCTGTCTGGGAAAGGAAGGGAAGCAAGGCTCAGTCGTGTGCATGCCCCGGGGGGCTGCAAGACACGAAGGAGAGGCGTGAGCCAGAGGCGCACCGCTCTGCAAGAGGATACTCCTCCACGGCTCCTGCTCTGCATGCAGAAGTTCCCCTGGAATCTTCAGTTAAAGGGTCTCTAGAAGCAGCCTGGGGAAGACTCTTCTCTAACGGAGGCCCCGGAGAGCAGCTGCCGCCACTCAAAACTGGCAAATGGGTCGCAAGCCTCAGGCTAAGGCAACTTCAGATGTCTGTCTCCTTTCTGAGGACACAAAGGCTTCCCATTTATTAAATCGCACGCAGCCGTGGTATCTGGGTGCTCACGAGCCACCAGTGGCTCTTTTGAGCCCTGTTCCCCCAATGGGGTGCCCACGCCCTGTTGCAGACGAGTGGGCAAGGCCCTCATTCAGTGAGGCTTGTGTTTGGCACTGCAGGTGGTTCCCATAAGTGCTATGGGCGGAACAGGTAACCTGCAAGCCTCCCTGAGGTGCAGGCCTCCTGCAAGGGGTGGAAGTGAGCGCGCCTCATTTGGTTGACGGTAGCTGCAAATGTGGCTCTCTGCGAGTTGTGGAGAACATCCCATTGGCCCACCAATAGCCACAGAACCTCAGAGAAACAAAATAAGGGAGTCCACGGTTAAGGGAGAAGGAAAGGCAGCAAGGAATGACCAGGCACAAGCAAGCTCTACAGGTGCTTCGTTCCCATTGGAGAGGGGATCAAAGGCATTAAGGACAGAAGAGGAAGTTCCCAGAGAAGGGGGCACCACTGAAGAGGAAGTGTGAGGCAGGAGTCAGGGAGAATTTGTAAGGGAGCAGGAGACTTATCAATGGCAGAGACTCCCACAGAGAAGCACTGGGCAGCCTCCTACACAAGATCTCAAGGAGTCAGCTATCAGGAAGTGAGAATATGAACTAAGTTGCCAGGGCTGGCCCCAGCATATTTTGCACCCTAGGCGAGGATCCCTTCTAGTGCCCCCCGTGCCCTCCATGCAGCAAGGAATGACCAGGCACAAACAAGCTCTACAGGGGCTTCGTTCCCATTGGAGAGGGGAGCAAAGACATTAAGTAAGGACAGAAGAGGAAGGCCCAGAGAAGAGGGCACCACTGAAGAGGAAGTGTGAGGCAGGAGTCAGGGAGAATTTGTAAGGGAGCAGGAGACTTATCAACGGCAGAGACTCCCACAGAGAAGCACTGGGCAGCCTCCTACACAAGATCTCAAGGAGTCAGCTATCAGGAAGTGAGGATATGAACTAAGTTGCAGGCCAGCCCTTTCCAGCTGTCACTGAGTTCCTTTGTGCACCCCAGGACTGGGGGGATGCAATGGAGGTCCTGCCCTCTTACTCACCACCATGCCATTGATGGAAACCCAGCAGTCGCTCGGGAAATCCTGGAGCATCGGCACAAGGAACTGGAGGCACCCGTCCCAGTGACACAGGAGAAGCATCATGCCGATAAGATTGATGATCCGCATTACAGCACTAGCCAGATCATACGTCATATGGAAAATCTGCGGCGGTGGTGAAGGGAGAAAGAGAAAAATGAATGAACTGTGTTTAGAAAGGCAGACTAGGAGAGCCAAATTCAAATCTCCTCTCACCAAGTGACCTGGGGCAAGCTGTTGTCTGTTCCTGGCCTAGCCTACCTCGAAGGATTGTTGTGAGAATAAAATGGAGTGCGGAGTAACCATGAACATCAGGCATAAGAACATAAGAGAAGCCAATGTTGGATCAGGCCAATGGCCCATCCGGTCCAACACTCTGTCACACAGTGGCCAAAAATACCAGGTGCCATCAGGAGGTCCACCAGTGGGGCCAGGACACTAGGAGCCCTCCCACTGTTGCCCCCCCCCAAGCACCAAGAATACAGAACATCACTTGCCCTAGCCTGAGAGTTCCTATCTATACCTTGTGGCTAATAGCCACTGATGGACTTCTGGACTGCAGTCTGCAGTCCTTGGAGGACAGATGTCATTTAAAAAGTGTAGTAAAATACTTAAATATAAAATGAAAGAGGCCCCAACTTCAGGAAAAACTACTATCAAAATGAAAGTAAGGCGGAAGATCAAGCGGTCATGTATAACACCAGTTAAGAGCATGGGTTAGGAAGTCTCAGGTTCGAGTTTTGCCACTGCCACTAACTCCATGAGCTACTCGGTATCTCAGCCTCGGCACCCAAATCTGCCCTCAGAGCAGGCCACCACCAAGATTCCGCCTACGTCACTGTTCTAAGAGGACCTGAGGAGGCTTGCTGAGACCTACGGCCCAAGCAGAGAAGCCCTAGGCAGGCTGGTGATTCCCCTTTAGGATTGACTACATTGATCCAGTTGCCCACAATGCAGCTGCTTGGCCACGCAATCCCGCAAGAGTCTTCCTGGGGCAGAATCCCACCAAGGGCCACATAACCATCTTCTCTGCCTCATATCGAGCCTCAAGCCTTCCATTCACACTAAACAGGACAGCTGCTGATTCGGCTGCAACCCTACAACTTAAATCTTCCTTTTGCAGAGAGTTATTATTTGTAGTATGTCACCCAGCAGCCAGGTGTCAGAACCCACAGCCAACAACGTAGTACACGTTTATCGGGAAAGGTAATACTTTATTGAAGAGCTATAGATGCATTAACATAGGCGCTGTTAAGAATGGCAGCTGCCCATCGGGCATAATAGGATATAGGGTATTCGTATGCACCCCCCCACACACTGCCCTGGCCAATTAGCCACACTCCCGCGCGCGGGAGATGGAGCTCAGGCCGTTAGCGCTGAAGCTGGGAACCAACCTCTCTCCCACGGTTCCACTGAAGCTAGACATCACACCACCTGTACAACTTAGAGATAAGCATTACAGCAGCGAAGAAGCACAGAAAGAATGCAGCGGCAATTAGTAGTCAACAGATCTCCCCAACCCTCATGGCAGCATAGCTGACACCAGGGTTCTGGGCCTATAATCTGGGAGACGTGGATTCAAGCCACCATTTTGCCACGAC